AAGAAGAAGAAGAAGAAGAAGAAGAAGAAGAAGAAGAAGAAGAAGAACAGAATGGGGGAGTTGAATGAAATTTTGTGGCTCTTTTAAGAGACCTTTCTTCCCTCTTGTCTCCATCCCATCATCCTCAGTTCTAGGATAAACAACCCCCCTACCAACTTCAGAGCAAAACCTGCCTCTCCACTCCACCCCTACCCAAAAGCTGACAAATTAATTGCTCCAATCCCTCCATTACTGAATCATGTCTGAACGTCAGCCATCCTTTACCTCAGACCCTGGAGTCCATCCCAGAACCAATCTTTAAAAGTTTATTTTACTGATCAAAGCAATAATATTATACGTGGTTTTTTTTTTAAAAAAAAGGAAAGCAAAGGGCAGACTAAAGAGCTGGGGGGGGTTTGAGGGAGGGAGAGAGAGAGAGAGAAAGAAAAGAGGGAAGGAAAAAGCTCTGCGTTTGACTATATTTAGTGGAACTATTCAAGTAAGTGAGGATTTGGCAAGGGCTCCCGAGTGGATCGCGCAGCCCAAACTTATAAGCAGTGAGATGATTATTCTGGACTGGGGCCAGGGAGGGCTACAAAATGGGCTATTCGGAGTTGAGGGTTGACAGGCAGAGTTTGGAGAAGGGAGAGGAGGAGGAGGAGGAGGAAAGAATGAGGGAGGAGGAGATCTTCAGGAAAAAAAAAATACTTCAGAACATTTGGGTTCTGTACGAATTCCTGGGGAAAACGCAGATGACTTATTGTCTCCTGTAGCTGGAATCCTCTCCAAAGGCATCTCTTCACTTGGGACCTTCTCTAGTTGCCAGTGGTGCCGCCTTGACATTTGAAGGAGATGCCCCACTGGGGGAAGAAGGAATCTCCCAAATGTTGGGTGGGCCCTCAATGGTGATGACCGCATTTAGACCGATGATTAGAAAGAGAATAGAAAGAGAAATAGGATAGAACAGAAGAGAATGGAATAGAATAGAAATAGAATAGAAATAGAATGGAAATAGGATAGGATAGAACAGAACAGAACAGAATTCTTTATTGCCCTTGTCCTTGGGCACACAAGGAATTTGTTTTGGTGCAAATGCTCTCAAGACACATGAAGAGAAGGTTTATGACTCAGGGTTGGATGGTTGGGGTCCTTGAGCTCGGCTGAAGGTTGGTTTTTTGCAGATGTTTCATGACTCAACTAGGGTACATCATCAGTCTTAGAAGTGAGGGGTGTTTATGGAGATGATGGGGGAAGGAGGAGGAGGAGAAGGGGAAGAAGAAGAAGGGGAAGGAGAAGGGGAAGGAGGAGAGGAAGAGGAAGAGGAAGAGGAAGAGGAAGAGGAAGAGGAAGAGGAAGAGGAAGAAGAAGAAGAAGAAGAAGAAGAAGAAGAAGAAGAAGAAGAAGAAGAAGAAGAAGAAGAAGAAGAAGGAAGACACAAAATAACAGAATGGGTTTTCAGGGAGGAGGAGGAGGAGGAGGAGAAGCAAGATGACTGTGGCATCCTTGGTGCTCTCTGAGCTTGGCCAACCTGCCTCTGACAAGCAAATTCAATGGGGTCTGGGGAAGCCGGATTTGCTTAATGACGCCGTGAATCCCTCAAGAACTGTAACGATTGGCTTAACAACCTCGGCGAAAAAGCATCGTAAGATCAGGAGCAACTCAACTCACTTAGCAAAGGCCTTGCTCAGCCACGGGAAGCCCGCTCCCAAATTGTGGCCGTAAGTGAGGGGGGATTTCCTGTATCACGAGTGCCAATGGAGCCAGGCCATTTAGGATGGTATTTGGGGGAAGGGGCTGAGGGTGTTAACATGGCCACCGTCCCCCTCCCCCCCCTTAAAAAAAAACTGGCTTGCCTCCTCACTCTCTTTCCTCCCCATCATTTCACAAAAAAAAAAAAAAAAAAAAACATACCTGGGTGACAAGGTTAAATCAAGCAGAGTAAAATCCCCGGCACTTATCATCCACCGGCGTTCCTGATAAATTGTGTGGTAGGGGAATAAAGGATTACCGTCTGTATTTTTTCATTACCCTTTTCTTTTGTTACCGAATACATAAATCCATTGTGGCACAATGTAATATGTATCATCGGGCTACACCTGTGGACACTTCAGAGCGGCTGCCATGTCTCTGCCGTCAGGAGTGATGAGTGAAACCCCCCCCTTGCCCCCCCCCACGCTCACCCCCCCCTCCCGTGAATGTTAATGATAGTGATCATTCTCAGGTAACGCGGCTCTCCATCTTCTGTTCCAAGCCTCTGCGCGGAAGCCCGGGTGGCAAGAGGGGAAAGGAAGGGGAGAAGAGGAAGAAAAAGAGAGGCTGAGAGAGAGAAGGACAGGGAGATAGGTAAGTAAGTAGATAGATAGATCAATAGATAGATAAGGCAGGCAGGCAAGCAGATGATGAGAGAGAGAGAGGGAAAGAGAAGGAGAGAGAAGAGACAGGTAGAGAGAAAGAAAGGTAGATGATGGATGGATGGATAGATAGATAAAGGCAGGCAGGCAGGCAGATAGAGATGATAAAAAGATACAGAATGAGAAAGAGAGAAATGGAGAAAGAGACAGACAGACAGAAAGATGGATGGATAGATGGATGGATGGACAGATAAAGGCAGGCAGGCAGATAGATGTTAAAGGGATAGAGAATGAGAAAGAGAAATGGAGAGAGAGAAGAGACAGACAGACAGACAGACAGACAGACAGAAAGATGGATAGATGGATGGATGGATGGATGGATGGATAGATAGATAGATAGATAGATAGATAGATAGATAGATAGATAGATAGATAGATAGATAGATAGATAGATAGACAGACAGACAGACAGACAGACAGACAGACAGACAGACAGATAGATAAGGCAGGCAGGTAGATGATAGAGAAAGTGAGAAAGAGAGAAAGAGAGGAGAGTGAGAGACAGAAAGAAGGATAGATTATAGATAGAGACAATGACAAAGAGAAGAGAGAGAAAATGAATGAACCCCCCATAAATCCATTAAGGGGGGAGAAGAGAGAGAAATAAATAATTTTTCTTCAGTTGCCCAAGGAGATCCTTGTCTGAGGAAGCTAAGAGATCCTGGTCTGAAGAAGCTAGCAGATTGGCTGACCTCTAGAAGAGGAAAACAATCCAGTGGTGGAGATTTTTTTACGATATCTTCTCTAATAAAATCTTGGTGAACGAACTTAGGAAGAGCTTGTTTTTGGGGGGAGAGCCAATGGAGAGGCGAGGGTACTGTAGATATCCGGCTAAAGCTTGATATCTCCTCTTGGAAGGAGCCTCTCTCCAGGGCTCCTCTTGGGGAGAAAAATCCCACCTTCTCCCCACAGATGAAATGGGGAGAGGGGGAGAAGTAGACCTGCCCCCCCCCCCAAGCTCGGGCAAGGAGGCCTTCCTTTTTGAGCCTGGCGAGCCTTTTCAAAAGCCATCGGCTCTGGGGAGACGGATGGCCTCGTTCAAAGCTGGGATGGCCGCCCTCTGTCTTCTCCTTGCATAACTTTGCCAGAGTCCTTGGGACTTGCCAAATCCGGTCACGCCTGCTTAGCTCTCTCGAGTGATGGTGCCAAAAGAGAAAATAAGACACAGATGTATTTCAGCGCTTGGCGATGCCAGACAGAGAGACAGCTAATAGCTTCATTTCCACCCTCCCCTACCAGCTGGGCACAGGTGGGGGTAGGTGGGGGATAATGAGGTGCCTTTTCCTAATCAAACTCAATTATTTAACACTCTCCATAACGGGCAAAGAAGTTCGGCGCTCAGTTCAACCTATTGAAAGGCTCGGAGATGGGCCTCTTTCAATCACCGGCGGCGAGTAGACGCCAACGATGGCGGTGATGCTGGAACGGTGATTTGGGCGCGATCTTCCGCGTGGGCGAAGTCTAGCTGCCTCCTTCCCTTCTGCCTGCTAACCCTGTGCTACCATGTTTTGTTTTGTTTTTTAAAAAAAATTCTCTGTACGTTGCTAAGAACCGAAGACGAGGATCTTCTCGGGCGGCAAACAGCCAGGAGTATTTGTAGAGTTCAAAGCAAAGAATTTGCTATTGCTATCCGGAGATAAGAATTCTGCTCAACGAGTGGTCAAAATTAAACCGGTGCCAGGCTCAATGGAATTCACACGGATGGATTTGGGGCTCTTGTGGCAACACAATGATTCCAAACTGATGACATGTTTAACTCTGCCTTCCAGCTTAGCCGGCTCCTCTCCTATGGATCTGATGTAATGTGGTATGCTCTAATATGCCGGATTTTTAGCTTCTGGGATTCTTAGTGGCCACAGGGCTGGAGGTGATGGGTGTGTATCTGCATTACAGGAGCCTCTGTCGCGCAGTGGTTAGAGTGCAGTACTGCAAGCTACTTCTGCTGCAACCAGCTGCCTACAATTTGGCAGATCGAATCCCATCAGGCTCAATGTTGACTCAGCCTTCCATCCTTCCGAAGTGGATAAAATGAGGACCTAAATTGTTGAGGGCCAGAGGCTGACTCTGTAAACCGCTTAGAAAGGGCTGGAAAGCACTATAAAGTGGTATATAAGTCTAAGTGCTATCGCTATTGCTATTGAAACTGTCTTCAGAAACATACTTCCTGGCCCATATCCATGCCTTGCCTTGCCTTTCCTTTCCTCACATAGCTGTCCATCTCACAAACATCTGAACGATGAAGTAAAGTCAGAGAAAAGGAACAGAAAAGAGCTGATTTCACATATAAATTTCCCAAGCTTGTAAGGGGATGATTGCAAGCTAAAACCCCCGACAAAGGCTTGGATGCCAAATACATTGCGTTGCGCAACCACGTTTCTTCAGTACTCTGAGGAGCATCCTTGCATTGGTCTTTCATTATTGTTCCTGCACGACCTTGTGCACAAGAAGAACATAGCATCCTATTCTTATTATATAATCTCAAAATCTTATAGCGGTCAGTTAATCAATCAATCAATACGAGAAGGAAGAGACTTACATTCGGACAAAGAGAGACTGCTTGGCCACCAAGCCTGGCGATGAATACTTCTCGACCAAGGCCAGAGTACTGAAGCCGAACTTGTGAATGGGTTCATTGCAATCCAAGGGTGGGAAATCCGTGTCAACTTCCCCATCGTCTTCGGCAATATGGAGGCAGTAAACGCTGACGTTGTCGCTGGAAGGAACCGGGAGAAAGAGAAGTTGGGAGGCCCACGGAAAAAAAGAAAGAAATTCCAAATCCATGTTTATGAATCAATGATTGTGATTCCCCATAGATGTTTACCAAATAGATTATTTTAATCTTCAAGACAAAACAAAACGCTTCGAATATTGGGGAATACAGAAGAGGCGACCATTGCCAGGTTGGTTAGGTCAGGGGTCTCCAACCTTGGCAACTTTAAGACTTGTGGACTTCAACTCCCAGAATTCCTCAGCCAGCAAAGAGTTGAAGTCCACAAGTCTTCAAAGTTGCCAAGGTTGGAGACCCCTGGTTTAGGTGGCAGAATTTTTAATCCCCTGGTGAACTCGAATTCCCCTTCTCCCTTGTTCAGTTTGACAAGTCCAAGTTGAAGTTTTCTCTGTCTGTCTGACTGATGCGGAAATTAATTAATAGTCAGGCGCATGTTAATTGTTTAATTGGCCGCTTGATCTATATGGATCATTTTTGGAAAGGAGCATTAAGCGAGTTGATTTACAAAGTTTATTGATTGGATGTGACAGTGAATTATTTTGCCGACTCTCTGATTTGCTATTTTCCCCAATTAATTCGCATAACTTGGGTGGGTAACTTAGTTCACCACCAGGCGTGCATATCCCAGATAATTCATCCTTAAGCTGTCATTTATTGTATGTTAGAGAGAGGTAATAACAACCCCTCTCAAGTTTCTCTAGCTTGTGGTGTCTCTTCAGTGGACAGGTAACCAGAAAGTACAGGGTCTTGGAATAAAACTACCCCTTGACTTACGACCGTTCGTTTAATGAGTGCTCCAAGTTAAAACGGCATTGGTGACTTTATGGTTTTCACGCGGCCATGGGGTCCTTGGTGTTCTTCACACTTGGGGGTTTTTCTTGCAGACATTTCATGGCAGACCCTATACCCGTGATGCCAAACCTATGGCACAAGTGCCACAGGTGGCACGCGGAGCCATTTGGCCGGCACGCGAGCCGCAGGCAAGCTTACCTCACTGCACACGCGTGTGCCTCACAGCTGATTTTTGGCCTGTTTGAGGACTTTTTCAGCCTCCCAGGGGCTTGAGGAAAGCCTCTGCAGCCCGAAAAATAGGACCGTTTTGTCACTTTCTGTATTTCCGGAAATACCGGAAGTGACGAAACGGTCCTATTTTTCGGGCTGCAGAGGCTTTCCTCAAGTCACTGTTTTCAGCGCCATTATAACTTTGAATGGTCTCTAAATGAACTGCTGTAAATCAAGGATTACCTGTACAAAACTACAAAAGGCTTCTTTGCTTGCAAAAAGCGGCCCTAAATACCAACCGTTAAGATTAGAAATGGGGGAATCCCTTCTGAAGATCAATGACTGACAGCTGTCATAGAAAGCTAAACCATTCTGCTCACTGTTCACACGAGAATCTTTCCTTCCTTACGGGATTAGGCCTGTAAAGTGGGAAATGCTTTCTTCCAACAAACGCTTCTCTGAACTACTCAGAAAATGAACATACGGTTCGGGAGAACCGGTGCAAACCAGTAGCAGCCCACCTCTGGGTGGGACTCTTGCAAAGATGTAGTTGCTTTGCCGAGAAGTTCTCCAAGCCGATTAAAAGGCAGGCGAAATATAAGCAAGCGGGAATCAGGCAGGCCAGAGAAGAAATCTCGGGGGTCAAGTTCTTCAGATTTGAGCAGCTGAGGAAGGAGACGCACGCTCCTCGCTACGTGGGGATTTAGGGAAAGGAGGCGGCTGTTTCACTCCCACCTGTCAGGAAAAGGGGCTCCAACCCTCAGGGGGGGTGAAAACGCTACCTGTGTATGTGACACGACGACGGGGAAGTGATTTGTCTTTTTTAAAAACAAACAAACAAGACACCTCCTCTCTCCCCCCCCCCACCGCTCCATCCCCCCAAAAAGGGGACCGCATCTCGAAATGATGATTCATTTATACAACACCGGGCTTCAGAGGCTTGTCATTACACAGTACCCGGTAATTTAATTGAAAGAGAAATAGATATAGATGTACGCAGAGCTTGGAAGGAAATATTGATAAATGGGGAAGTGTTGTGGTGAGACTTATCTGGTGTGTGTGTGTGTGTGTGTGTGTGTGTGTATTTTTCTGTTCAATCGTGTCTGATTCTCAGAGACTCAGAGACTCTCTGTGGCAGCTGCCTTACACTCTGGACAACTCCCTACAGTTTTCTTGGCAAGGTTTTTCAGAAGGAGTATGTCGTTTCTGTCTATCTGTCTGCCTGTCCGTCTTATCTATCTATCTATCTATCTATCTATCTATCATCCATTTATCTATCTTATCTATACACAACGTATTTATCTACCCACTTATCTATCCATAGTCACCCATCATCCATCCCTCCATCCATCCATGCTATCTTATGTATCAACATATCTTTCTATTCATATATCCATATGTCTGTCCGTCCATCCATCCATCCATCCATCCATCCCATTTCTCTTAGTATCTATCATCTATCTATCTATCATCTATCTATCTATCTATCTATCTATCTATCTATCTATCTATCTATCTATCTATCTATCTATCTATCATCTAATTTGTTACATCTATCTATCTATCTATCTATCTATCTATCTATCTATCTATCTATC